AAATTAATATCTAAATTAAATATTGCGCAAAACTTAATGTTTTTTTTTCAATAATTTTTTATCAATATATCTATTGATAGCCTTTCGCCTAGCTAATCTTAATGTTAATTTAAAACTTCTATATTTAATGATTGCACTTTATTAAAACTGAATAGAAGAAAATTAAAGTAAAATATATTTGGAAAGTCAATTATTAGTGTTGTTTTGATTATCATTATTATTTAAATCTTCCCGTCTTGCGTGGCCGAATCCACGACAGGTATGGAAAAAAAAGACCTAAGTACATTTAAATTTAAAATAAAAAATAAGTTTTATATTATTAATAATATTTTACAAACAATTTAAGTTACTTATAATTATTAGTAATTTACAAGAGTGTTAATTTAATTCCAAGATTTTAACACGGTTAGAATAAATTAGAATGTGATCTCTAGTTAGTTACTAATAAAGCTCGAAATGATATCACTAATCGATATATATCGTGATTCAATCGTTTAATTATAATCTTAAAGCATGCCTCGGTTAACTGACTTTTGATTCAGCTTTAAATAAAAATATTTTATGAAAATCTCAGAAAGAAAATTTTAGTTTTAATAATCACTAAATGCATTAATATAATACAGAAAAACTTATTTGGATGCATGAAAAAAATAGACAATAAACATACCTTACAAATACATCTGTAAGCAAACTTATTTAATGATAATTGATCTGATGAGTTTTGCTCTTTTTTTTATTTATATGTAATCAGCAATTATATTTAATTTTCATGAAAATAAAATTGCTGAAGTTAGCAAAAATTCAATAAAATGATTCGCTGTTAGATATGAAAACTCTATCAATATTCGATATTTTGGCTTATGTAAGCTTATCTCTTTTCTCTTATTTAGTAACGACATCAAACATACGTAAAAACTAAAGCCACGTGCTGTTTTCTTGACCTTCTTAAATTAATTTATATTTTATCTATCTATCTTAAGCTTTGATTTCTAAATATTGTCTACTTATTTATATAGAGTAAATATAGTTTTGGTATTTCATGATAAAATGATACGTTAGTGATACCGAATTATCAAGTATTACATTATGATAGGAAATACTTTTGAATCGAAGGTAGGAGAAGGTAAATCGAATCGAAGGTATTTTCGACAAAGGTGAATGTGAGAGATGAGACCAAGCATAACCGGGATAGCCCGCTTTTGAAACATTCCTGGGATTTCTCGCCGGGATTAGATTTCCAGAACTGTAGGCTGACGCCTTAACTGCTTGGGCTATCTTGGTTTATTCGGTAACGGAAACGCTACCTGCCGAGGGAAGATACCTCCCGGGAGGACTTTCTATGGAAAACGAGTCCTTATTTACGTATTACAAACGTGAGGAAAATACAGAAAATTCCACGTGGCAAGTCCCTTGGCGAAGCCTGAACCCATTACAATTATCAGTGTTCAGCACAGACATTGGTGGGTGCTTCCGTTATCTTCCAGAAGACCTTAAGATCTTTTTCTAGATCAAAACAGGCTCGATGAGGATCATAATGGGAATGGTTGCTCATAAAGGACGAGGCGCGACATATTCTGGTCAAATCATTCATAAAAATTTCCCGAAATTCAAATCAAACTTAAACTGGCATCCCCAGAATGGCACCAGTTTGCCAACCATTGCCAGTTGTTGACTGGTGATCGAAATGGCAAAAGTCGTCAGCTAGCCATCAGAATTCGAATCCGAGTTCAGTGAACTTTGAGTCGAATTCTGATCGGAAACTTCAAAATAATTTATGGTGGATATATTGGAATAAAAGCTAATATAGGTAATAACGTGATCACGTTATTACCTATATTAGCTTTTATTCCAATTTCCGGATATAGAGTAGATTTCAACTAGAATATTTTTACAAATATTTAGATAAAATTACTTATAAAAGAGAATTTTTTTTATTTATTTAATAGAAATATTGTAAAATTTAATAAGAAATTTTTATTAAATTTTGTTAATTTTTTATAAAGAATACTTCAATACTCGTTTGCATCCATAATCTGAATGGCCTTCGTTTAATAAAGGTAGACATCTATAGAGGAAATTAATAAATTAAGTAATTTGCTAATAAAGCAATTATTCAATAAGTTATTAAAAACAAATGATAATTTTTCCTTTTTAATATTATACAGTATATTCATTTTCTTTTTAAACTTTAAATTATATTCATCTACTATACTGTGTATTATGAAGTGATTAACATATAATTTAATAATATAACATAAAAATTCTGTTTATTATTATATGCTAATGTTAAAATGTGTATGTATAATAAGGAAATGCCAAATTAAAAATTTTTTAAAATTATATTTAACAAATGGATTTCGAAAGGAATAATAAAGTCATAAAGGACACACGTAATGGCAAATAAGTAAAATTAAATTTAATTAAACTCCATGAAGACAATTATTAAAATTTATAAGTTTAGAAAAAACACTAGAGTAAAAGTGTATTTACACAATTCCCACCCGTTTTCACACCTAGGAATTGGATAATGTAGTCTAAAGAAAGCCTATGACAGAGTCCTAGAGTTTTAATTATTATAATTTTTATAATTGTACCCTCAGCAGTGATTTTTTAAAAATTCTGTTCAACATATTGAGGTGGAGAGTGGAGGGGAGCCTCAAAATAAAAGTCAACTCCATTGTAACTCATCTCAGCTTACATTATTCAATTCAGAATTGTAGAAGGGAACGAATTGTGAAGACACTTTTACTCTAGTGTTTCTTGTAAACTTGTTGAATTTTAAAATTAAAATTGTAACTTAAGATTAAAAAAAATCTACATTCTTAAATATTACGATTTCTACTTTGAATTTGAATGATAAACATGACCATGAAAATGATACGTCATCGTAAATCGATTTAAATAAATATTTTATTCTACGTTACTCTAGAAAGTTAAGATAAAAAATATCCTTCAGTATGTCTTGTAGATAATAATCAAAGTCAGACGATTTTATATAATAAATATTTAGAAAAAAAATTTGCTTTTAGTGATTATAAAGCGTGTTGCATTTCTATTTAATCATTTATATAAGTTTACTTTACAGAAATAAAATAATCGGTAGATTTTTTTTTATATTGTAATTAATATGATTTATTAAGTGTGGTCTTTTCCACTTTTCTTCTTAAATCTTTGCTGAAATATATACCACATAGCATTAAAATAGGTTATGGCATATCCCTTAAAACAAGATGCAAAGACATGGATAATATACACGTGTATTTATAAAATTCTTTATGGTATAATTTTCTAAGTTTTAAAGGAGAAATATTATTACTATTATTATTTTAATTTAAGGAAAATATAATAAGAACATTTAAATCTTTCTTTAAGGAAACTTGTTACTTTCCTTATACAACAGAGGGAAAGTAGACTATGGCGATCGGCCAAAAAATGACTCCCACAGATTTTACAATTTTGTATTCAGGGATGTTGAAACGTCGAGAAATGCAAAAACATTCGGGATTTTTATCTATATGTATGGATGTTAAGTGTGTGTGTATGTATGTGTAGTTATGGGCACGATTTTGTTCAACCTGTTTGAAGCTTAATAACTCCTGTGTTTTTTGTCAAAAATTGCTGAAATTTTGCAGAGAGGTTTGTTTATTAGGGGAATTGATGCTATTAAATTTTGGTGATTAAAGATCGACGGGGTGGGGAGATAAAGGAGGCTGTGTGTATCTCCAGTAGGGTCGAACTTAATGACGATTTTACTCGTTATTAGCATTTAGAATTTTTTTTATAAAACCCATCCCTACCCTCAAAAATAAACTTTTTTTTTGCCAATTTTTATAATAGTTAAAAATATAAAAAGATTTTTAATAAAATAGCATAACAGATGGCGCCACCAAATGTTGCTGGGAAAGTTAAGCAACTCGTTGCTGCATTTTTATTTTTAAAGAAATTCAAAAAAATACGATTTTATATTATTATTTTGTTTAATTTTTTTAATTCTCAATAAAACGTTAGGTATATCACATTATCCATGTTTCATATTTTTAATAAAATAATACACGAATTGTATTCTTAGAACACCTCTTTCATAAATATATTATTTTATTTTTTTAAGATAAAATGTTAATCCATTACGCACGTTAACACGTTATCTTTCGATAAAAAATGCACACAAAATTAAGAATTAAATTCTCTTAAAAGATTCAGAATTAGAAACCATTCAATTATTACATATGTAGTATGTAATAGAATAATTATATATTATTCTTAAATAATATATTGTATATTATATCTATATTAAATTTATAAGAATCTAAGGAATAATTCAAATATCATAACAGCAAAGATTTGCATTATTTTAATCTCATTCCTTCATCATCATCAGCATCAGAAATTAAGCTGACTCTTCCCCCTAATATCAATAATATTTATCTTAAATAATATTATAGCTTAAAAAGTAAAGTTAAAAGTTAAATTTTCAGCTATGAACTATATACCACTACATATCCTGATTTAGAATTAATTCATACGAATATGATATAATATATTATTATATAAATTGCTTACTAAGTACGAGAGTAATTGTATATTATATAATAAATTAGATTAAGGTTATAAAGATAAGAATTATATCCTGGACAAGGAGCATCTTTTTAACATAAAATTGTGCTCTTTACTAAAATACAATATATCAATTATTATAATTTTTTTCACCCACTCGCAAACGATTTCTAGCAATACCTTCGGGGGGTCAATAACGACTAAGTTAAAAACTACTTTAAAAAATGACCTTGAAATAGTGCGCGAAATAAACAACCTTTCAATTGTTTTTATATCCTACACAGGTGAAGGTACTGTACTTTAATAAAGAAAATCGATCAAGTTAGAAGCAATTATGGAAATAAATCGATCGATCTGTTTGGAAATGGAACAAACAAATCAATCAATTTATATATATATATTTCCAATAAGGTAGTATAAATCATAAAAAATTGTACAGTACTTACCGGTAAAATTACTGATTGAATATCTTTGGGTGATGATAAAATAGTATTTTGTATATATGAAGTAGTCGAAACATATTTAATATCCCATAATGGTATTATTTTATGGAAATATTTTGGTATACGAATAAGTCTTCGAACAATGATAGAAGCTGACATCTCTCTTGTCAAGCAGAACCAACAGGACAACCTCAAAAAATTTATTAACAACTATCAGGCATGCGCCGAAGTTGTTTACAGTAACACTTAAATGATAATTTTTTTAAAAATAACTTTAAAACAATTAACAAAAATTTTAATATTAAATATTAATAGATTCTTTAGGTTATATAATAATAATAATTAGTTATATAAATGTGGAAAAACTCTATCTAGTCCTTCTTTAAGTTAGAATATTTTTAATTATTGTTAAACTAATGTGAAATATTAATAATTTTGAGATTTTAATATATTAAGTAGAATAAGTAAATCAATTTAAAATGTAAATTTAAATTATAGAATTTTTAAGATTCATTCTGACTCACCCTCTTGATTTTATAGGTTTTTGTAAATTTCTAGAGTCATTCTTAAGTAATTATATTATTTCATTATACATATATGTAATAACTTTTTATAAATCATTACAATTTGCACTTAATTAGATGATATGTTAATTAATTTATATGCTGTAAGAACTTTAAAATATAATCTTAAAATACTGTATTTTTTAATTATATTTTCATTTATACAGCATATTACATTTTAATTATATATTAGGCCTGTATATATAGTTCATAGTAAACATAATTGAAAAAATAATGACAGACATTCACATTGTTTAATTTATACCTATTTACATGCTACTTATCAAAACTGTATATAAAAAATATACTTATAAATAAATATATTATTAATTTATCGAAAATTTTTATAAATTTTTCTTAATAATAATAAACGTTTTCTGGTTTAGAGGTGACAGTTATTAGAGGTTCGGCTGTATTTTTTATGTATACCTGGTATAAGTTTATACAATATTTACAGTATGTAGGAGATACAGAGATACTTAAATATAATTTTTAAAAAATGCCTGTAACAAAATTTCTATTAAATATGTCGATAATAATATATGTCCTTATACAATAAATACGGAAATGTAGCTTATACGACTGCTTTCATTGTTAAAAATCTATGAATTGTTTTATTTTCCAAGGAAAGGCTACACGTTTAAAATAAATCATATAATTCGAAATAAAAATCACATAATAATTTAGAAATGGAAAATGTAAATGTGCTTCTAATTTGAAATGAATGAACTTTACTCCTTTTTACAAATATTTATTTGTTTTATGATAATTTTATCGATTATAATTTTATCATTAAAACGTAAACTACACACGAAAGATGAGTTCAAATTACAAAGGTGACAATAATAAAGTATTTTATAATCTTATATTTTTGAAGGTATGAATCTAGCATGAATGATAAAATGTTTTTCAAATAACATTGA